CTACACGTAGGGACCATAAAGTAATATTTTTCTCAACTCCTAAGCATCTTACAAGTAGCACACCCTTCTGCTTCCCGCCTTTGGTGACAGGTGTTTGTCTGGCATTCGGCCACCTCTGCGTCTGCAGAGGCTCTCGGCTGAGCGGGTGCCAGGCATGTTTGCGTCCAGGAGTCGTCAATGCACTTTCAGTGGGCGCGGATGTCCAGGGAGGGCCGAGCAGGGGGTTGTGGCCCCCACCCAGCGGCAGCTGGAGGCGGTGCGTTTTGCTCCCCGAATGCCCACCTAACTCCATGGGAACCCCAGTTCAGAGAGCTCATTTTTCACGATCCCAGGCAGGAAAGGCTGTATGCAGACCACAGACCCGGGGGCAGGAAGCCAGCGCTGAGACTGGCCAGGCCAGGTACCTGCCCCTCTTGCCCAGCATCATCCCCTGGAGCCCGGGCCTCCGCACACCCCGGTCCTTGCCCACGCGCTCCGGACGTGCCTGAGTGACAGGCAGGCTCCTTGGGCTGCGTCTCTCCTGAGGCGCATTCCTTCACAGACACTTGACACAGATGCTTATTGTCCCCTAGAGCTTTGGAGGCAGAAGGACCTGCCTTATGGGTCGGCAGAAATGTTTCCGTTTGTTCGAGCACTTTATATTCGCTTTCTTGATTGGCCCTGAGCGCCGCGGGCTGGCCCAGTTGTGCAGAGATGAGGGTCTGTCTTTAAAGGTTCCGGGAGGGAGGTGCTGGCCTGGCCTGGGGGTGGGGGTGGAGAAGCAGGCCTCTGTCCCTCCCCACCTGCGTTCTCCAGGGGAGTGTGACCCTGTCGACACCAGGCGGGCCTGGCCTGCGCGGGCTGGGCCGAGGAAGACACTATGGAGGTGTGAGGACATGGGAAGAGGGTGCTTTATTAGGCTGTTGAGTGCGCTTAGACTTGGAGCCCAAAATAGCCAAGTTCAAAGCAGTTAAAGAGAAATACGAGGTGTTTAGCATCCCTTCTAACCACAGATATGTAAATTGAAAGAAGGTGTCATGTTTTACCTGAAGGACCAGCAAAGACCGAAAAGAATGGTCACGGGGATGGGAGGCTTCGGAGAGTCAGCGGAAACGGGTGGACGCCAGCCAGTCCCCCTCGCTTTTGGTGTCAGGCGTCCGGGAAGCACTGGGTGCTGACCGAAGTTTTCTGTGTATTGTCCAAGAACTGGTTTTCTGGTTTTAGCTTCAGAGTTTCTTCCTTAACTGCACCTGCTCTAACGGAGAGGGACTTCCGGTTCAGTGGGTGTCATTCCGGAAAAAGACAGGACACAAGCTACCCCTGCGGCCTGTGCCGAGTTCCAAGCCGTCGTCAGTAGGTCGCGGTTTCCCTCCTGTCACCCCTGATTCTTGGCATCACCTGCGTCCGTGTCAGCAGTCACCACTGCGGGTCACAAACTTCTGGGCCTTTGATATAAATCTTGGGTGAGTGGCCTGTTGTTTGTGGCCCCAGCACTGGGGTGGGCTTGGATCGGGGGGAGGTATTCCACGTCCCTTCTCGGCCTCTGCACCTGCAGTTTCATTTATGGGACAAAAATAGTCACACGAGTGACAATACTCGTGCATGTCAAACGTAACAGAATGATGTAATAATATAGAATAGTGGTAGAATACTATACAGTTGTGGAAAAGAGTATGGTAACTGTATATATATGCACATAGATCTTCGCAATATGGAAACTAAATTACGGAGCGGTGCGTGGATACATTTGTATAACCGGTAACGGCAGCTAAAAGCACATTGGATACGCACAGAGCCAGAGGGACAGACGCTCAAGTGCAAACGTGGATAACTTTAGATCAAGGTTCTTAGTATGGTCTAGGGACCTCTAGGGGCCCCCACATCCTTTTGGGAGCCCATAATTATGTGGAGGTCATGTTGACAGATAAGATTTTTCAAGTGTTACCTAAGGAAATGAATCAACCTTAGGAAGATCTGCATAATTCAGTGAATCGATTTCCCACATTTTTCTCATAACCGATGCTCGATGATGTAAAATCATGCGTGGTTACATGACCCATCCAAAGTGCAAGACCGGTGGGTTTTTTAATTTTTTTTTTTTCTACCTACAGCACCCGGTCGTCCTAGGTGGTCTCCCATCCAAGTACTAACCAGGCCCGACCCTGCTTAGCTTCCGCGATCGGACGGGATCGGGCGTGTTCAGGGTGGCGTGGCCGTGCACGGGAGACTGATGGATTTTAATGTGAGAGAGTATGAAAAGTTCATTCGCGTAGTTTCAGATTCCGCTCTGCAGCCAGCTAAAGGGGACTGTCGCAGGATACCCAGTTATCGGAAAGGTTCTTAAACGCTCCCTTCCCACTTACGTCTGTGTGAGGCCAGATTTTCTTCGACCAAAACATGTTGCAAAAGATCAAAAGCAGATGCAGATAAGGCAGAGGTTAAAGAGATTTACAAAATGCGACTGATCATAAAAATTTTATTTACGTTAATTTCTAAGAGTAAAAAGGAGTCCCAAGACTAAAACATTTTTAGATCCTAGAATTAGGGAAGACAGGTTTCTTCTTAATGATTAGGAACCACTGAATTTCTTAATATGTTAGAATGTTCTATTCTTATAATCAGGGAAAAAGAGATGTCTCTTAAAATGGTCGCTTGCTTTACTCATCTGTGTCATCTGCCTGGGACAGAACAAGAGGAAACGGGCTGAATTGGCCTGAAGGTCAGTTTAGGTTAGCGACACACGGGACCGTCCTGGTAGGGGCTCTTCAGTTGCAGAACGGGCTCTCGGCGGGGCCGGAAAACCCAGCTCAAACCGCCCAGGGAGGAGAATTTATGGGAAGGTGTAGAGGAGGGGCCACCTTTGGGCCAGCCTTACTGGGGACGCAGGCACAGGCGTGCCGCCTGGGCCACCTCCTGCCTCTGAATCCCCAGGGCCCTTCAGAGTCCTGTCCTCAGCTTGGTGAGGCTAACGCATTTATCGGACTTTCGCGTTTCCTTCAGCGTCGTGGGCTCAGGCAGTGCGGGGCTCGTGGTCAGAGCAGCAGGCCGAGTCCTCCAGGCCTGGCCCGGCGCCCCAGCGTGCCGCCGGCCGCGACCTCCGAGTGCTCCAGCCGCTCCTCATAACGGAATCAACACCTGCCTCCCAGGACGAGGACGCGGGTGGATTCCGCCTTTGCGTACGGCCCAGTGCGGCTTCTCCGCAGCCAGACCCTGGGAACGAGCTACTTAGCCAGTGACGAGCCCCATAGTATTCGAAGGCTTTCTGTGGCATTGCCACATTAGGCAGCCGTCTGGGCACAGTTTACGAGCCTGCCGTCTAAGTGCCATGTGTACCCATTCATTATGCTTTTAATGGTTACTAGTTTTTAAATTTAAGAGTATCATGCTTGTTGAGAAAAGAACACGAGGCAGCACAGAAGGTTGTAAATACCCAGTCGCACTTCCCCGAAGGAGGTTGTGCTGACACGTTTTCCAGTCGAAAGCTCTCAGCCGTGCTCACATGGTCCCGGTCCCCACGCTGTTCGGTGGCCTGACCGGCCGCGCGCAGCAGGGTGTGGCAGCCGGGCCGCTCATCTTTCCATTGGACTGCCTGGCTTTTACTTCTCGAAACCAAGCTCCTGTCCCCCGTTATGTGTCGATCTGAACTTCCACACGACGAGCGTTTTCTGCATCCGTCCCCATGATCCAGGACTCCTGATTCCGCAGCTTCGCCTCGGATCTGTACACCCTCTGCCCGTGGGAGGAGGCGGATCTGGGTCGGGCTGAGGAATCGCGGTGACAGGAGATTGACGGCTGCTGGGGGCGGGGAAGGCTCTGCAGGGACCAGTCCCCGCCCCCCCCCTCCCCGCCCCACCCCTAGGCCCTGCCCTGCAGAGGGGGGC